CCCCAAAACCCCAAAACCCCAAAACCCCTATTGTATCATATCAAGTTGAAGATTTTTGAGATTCTGAAAGAATTCAAATAATTTTAAAGCTTTAGATGACGACCTCTATCTTCTTAATAGGACGAGCCTGTGCCAGGTGACGATGAATAGAGATCCATGCTAGAATTATGAAAAAAATAGCAAAGAAAGACCACCATAGGATGACTCTGTAACCCCACAAAAGTCCGATCTCTCTGTCTTCAAATCAGTCCATGAAGTATGCTGAAGCAATCGGCGCAAGGAAGTACCCTCCTAGGTTAAAAATAAGCTGGCTCAGACTTGAGCTTGCTGATTGGTAGATCTTAGGAACGCTATTCACAATAACTCCTGTTCAAGTTGGTATCAAAGACGCTCCAAAGAAAAGTAGCAGCCAGAGGGAAGGAACTACAAAGATGATCTTTTCACAGAATCCAACTGGAAGTGCAAATACTAGGGCTCAAGCTCCAAATACAGTGCATGTTTTGATAGCTGATAACATATTTTCACCCTTATAGCCACCTTTGAGGTCGATTATCCAACTTCCAAGGGAAACACCAGCTAGAGGGGCTGTGATGCTTCAGAATGTGAAGAAGATCATTACGAGGGACGGGTTCATCTTCATAACTTTCAGGAAATACGCTGTTGTCCAGAACTGAATTCCACTTACTACGAAATAGAGTGCTCATAAGGCAAGAGTCACAAACATAAAGATTGAGTTTCCCAGAAGGTTTTTGTACGAGTCTGTTATATAGTTAAATTTTAGAATACTCTTGCCAGACCTAGGCTCTGTATGATGGGACTCATATTTAGCCGGACCAGAGCTATTCACATATGAGCTGCTATCTTCAGCTCCAGGTGTGAGAAGGGACTCTTCTCCAGTGTCCTGTGTAATTTCTATATACTCCTTTTTAACAAAGAGGAATAAGAATGCACAAAGGAACTGACCAGCAGCCTGGATATAAATCGGGAATCTCCAGCTCAGGTATGAAGATAGGTAGTTCACAGTAATAGATGTGATAATGTATCCGCTTATTATGCCGATAACTACTGCTGAATGAAGCATTGCTAACCATCTGGATGCAGCCTTCAAGGGGCTATACTCATTTCACCAGACTGGTGCATGAATCACCACAAAAGCTTGGGTTATGCCTAGTAAGAATCTCATGAAGAAGAGGATGTACAAATTCTCACTAATGGCAAACTCAAGTCAAGCAACCGAGTTTATGAAGACCATGATCACTATGACGTACTTCGCTGGCATTAACTTGAAAACAAATGTAGTAAAAAGAGTTGAAACTCAGAGTCCAATATAAACGATTGATCCTAGTGAGGCTATCTGCTCTTGACTGATATCCAGGTCTTCTTCAATAGAGATCAAGGCTGCTGGGATAACCCCTGTGTCATAATTTAAAAAGATGTTCATTGCTATAAATAATCTGAAGATTCCTAGCATGTCTAGATGAGGTTACCAAGATATGCACTATACCTTCTGGGTGTGTCTGGACAGTCTGGCGGATATGTCTCAAGCTCTCAGCTGGGTCTTCATCTAAATCCTCTAGTTTCTCCCATTTCTCTGGGTTCAGAGTATTATGGAAATTCCCTGTATGATCAAAATAGAGCCCATACCAAGCTTGGAGGAGTTTCTTAGTAATTTATCAAATGTAGAAGTCTCGCTTTTGTAGGAATCATCCTTGATCATTCCTCTTTCTTTGCCTGGATGAAGTCCTTGAAAGATTGTTTTCTGTTTAGGCTGCATACTATTCTTGATGAGTAATAAAATACCTAGATCTGCCTGGGATCACAGGCTGAAGCATACTCTTGCTCTTATTGTAAGCGAAGTTATTAAACGTGCTTGGTAAAACAGCCTTTGACTTGTTTAAATTGACTGGCTCGAAAAGTACACCATTTTCCATTTTAAATTTAGGAGAGTTATAATTTTCAAGATTTTGTATGTAAATTGGGGTTTTGGGGTTTTGGGGTTTTGGGGTTTTGGGGTTTTGGGG